CTGAACAAATAAATTTGACCTATGATACAATGTAAATACAAAATAAATAAACTAAGGGAAGAATAATAAAAGTAACATGTTATATCGGTATGAAATGTTAAACAATTAAAGAAAAACAATCTGCTCGAAAAAAAATATCAGCCGTTTGCAATAACTTTAAACACAGGTAAATGAAAATAATTTTGTTGTTAGGTATACGTATACAGTTCCAATAGAGAAAGGAAATATTTTTACAAAATAAATAATTTTGATGTTCATAGTACGAAGTGAAAATTTATAGTAATACCAAACACTTATAAAAGCTGGTATATAGACCAGATATAACCCTGAATAACATTAAATAACAAAAAAGCAATACAATTAGTATCAACAGGTCAAAATAAACAAGAAAGAACGATTTGAGAGTACTCGCAGTTACTGACAGCTAGTTAAAAGCCAAAACAATTAATAATAACCCAAAACTGTAAAATTTCCTAAAAATTAACTATTTCTGGACAGTTACCCAACAATAAGATGTCCTATTGGTCTGAAGATTACCTGACAGGTAGATCTAAACCTGTTTAACACTTTCAACTATGTTAGCTTTGCTCTTACTGCTATAGTTTTTGAGATGAAAGCCAAAAACTGCATTTGACCCCTATGTTCTATTTTTCAGCCATGGCCGCCATGTTTGTTAATGGATTAAAACTTCAGATACAATTTATAAACCAGTTACCCTGAGGAACATTCAGTGAAAGTTAAGAAGTTCAGTAGTTTCAGAGGAGATTTTAAAATGTTAGCAAACATCAAGAACAAATTGTGTAAAATTGTCCTTAAAGGCCAATAACTCCTTATGGGGTCAATTGACAATTTTGGTCATATTAACTTTTATGTAGATCTTACTTTGCTGAGCATTTTGTTTATCTTCATCTTCAATAATATTCAAGATAATAACCAATAAAAACTACAAAATTTCCTTAAAATTATTCATTTAGTGGAAGCAATCCAACAATGCCGATTGTTTGAAAATTTCAGGGTTGATAGATCTTGACCTAATGAACATTTTTACCCCATGTCAGATTTGCTCTAAATGCTTTAGTTTTGGAGATATCATATAAGCAAAAAACTGAATTTGACCCCTATGTTCTATTTTTAGCCATGGCCACCATGTTTGTTGATGGATCAAAAATTCGGATACATTTTTTTAACTAGATACCATAAGGAACGTTCAGTTAAAGATTGAAGGTATTTGACCCAGTAGTTTCAGAGAAGATTCTTGAAATAGTTTATGACAATAGACGACGTACGACGGATGCCAAGTGATGGCATAAGCTCACATGGGGTCCTTCGGGCCACGGTGAGCTAAAAGTACTTACATTTTCCTGGCCTTGCTTTATTATTCGTTCACTTTTCCTAGTCCTGTTGATATAAAAAAAAATAATATTACTATATTGAATAGCTTTTAGTTTAAGTCATGTTTTATATGAAAATTAAAACACAGCTGCGAAATTGCAGGCATTTAGAGCGATGTTAAAAGTATGTAAACTGTTGTAGGATGAATTTTTTGTAAAAGACTTTATGACTGGAGAATTTCAGGAAAGGTATCAGAAGTCATAGATACTATGGGACAGGACAATTTTTTTTAGCCCTTCTCCCTTTTTTTTCTTAATCTGTTATTTTCTGTTTTCTATAAATTTCCATAAATAAACACTATATATAAAATGCATGTGCTATTTACTATCAATTCCAAGGTTACTATCCACAGCATTCACTGATATAAGAGAGTCTCTATATAATTTGGGGGAAAAAGTCAATATATATATATATGTTCCTGATATAATATATCAATGACCGCCGTGGATAGTAGACTTGGCATTGATCATAAATAGCAAACACACTTTATTTAAAGTATATGCATGCTCATAGTTTTCAGAAAGAATAAGAAAATTATTGTATTGTCTCCAAGTACAATTATGTTTCAAGTTTCAAGTTTTTATTTCTCAAGACCCTTAACCAGCCAGGGTATGTGTAATTTTAAACAGTCCTAAACAGAAGTCTTGTCTAATACTTAAAAGTCTGTCCGATGACGGAAACAATATCTGGACACCTTTATTTTCGTTTTCCTCCCAAATGGAATAAGCATAAGGGAGGATGACAAATGCGACTATGCATGGTACCTATTGGACACAGAGGCATGATGATTAATCTATTGTGGAAGGAAGAGAAGCAACACACAAAATTAGGTCTTCTCATTTAATAGTATAGATAAGAACATGTGGCATAATTGCCAATGTGACAACTCTCCACCAGAGACCAAATGAAATAGAAGTTAACACCTATTATAACTTATTCTACACCCATTTTGATTAATAAAAGAAATTACTCAGTCCCAATGTCCCCCGCATTGCACATATTTTATCTATCCAAGGAAGATGGGCAATCACTAAAAAAACACTTTTATTTCTTGTTCTCGAAATCTTTTTATTGATATCAAGGAGAATTAAAAGCTTCAGAGCAAATGCAATGTGATTTCCATTATACATGTTATAATTAATTTTCCAAGGGCATAACTCGTTAAAAATATTTGATTAATAAATTGTAGCACTTATTTTCGAAAGTGTCAAAGACATTCATGCTGATATAAACTTATGATATAAGTTTCATAAAATTCTGGGAATAACTGTACACTGACAATGCAAGTTTCCATATGATTAATATTTGATTTTATTTTGATAGTCATAAATATGAAGCTTTACTACAACTATCACTTAAACTTAACATGATCCAAGAAAATGAGGTCAAGGTCAGATAAACCAAACTGGAAATACATTTAAACCTTACCATCGTTCCATATACCAAATATGCTTTAACCCCGCATCATTTTTGCGCCTGTCCTAAGTCTGGAGCCTCTGGTCTTTGTTAGTCTATAATTTTAGTTCATTTATATGTTTTGGAGTTTAGTATGACGTCCATTTTCACTGAACTAGTTCACATTTTATTTAGGGACCAGCTGAGGCCCACCTCCGGGTGAGGGATTTTCTCGCTGTGTTAAAGACCCATGGCCATGGATGGCCTTCAGCTGTTATCTGCTCTGTGGTCAGTTTGTTGTCTCTCTGACATACATGTATTCCCCATTTCCATTCTCAATTTTATTTAAATATAGTTGACCTATTGCAGATACAGTGTAGTATCTGAGAAACAAACTTACCCAAGAAAATTTAATTGATCAATGAACCATAAAAAGGTCAAGGTCAGATGAACCCTGCCAGACAGACATGTACAACTTAACCAGGAAAACTTAAGATTGACTAGATAAATACACCTTCAAATCATTCCATACACCAAATATAGTAGACCTATTGCTAATTATAGTGTTAGAAAAACAGACCAATAAACAAAAACTTAACATTGAGCACTGAACTGTAAAAATTAGGTCATGCCTCATGGTCAAATAAAACATGCCAGACTGACATGTACAACGTAAAATATTTCCATACACAAAATATAGCTGACCTATTGCATACACTATTAGAAAAACAGACCAAAACACAAAAACTTAACTTAAACCAATGAACCATGAAATTGAGGTCAAGTTCGTATGACATCTGCCATTTGGACAAGTAAACCTTACAATCATTCAACACACCAAATATAGTATTGCATAGAGATATGGACTTGACCATGAAAACTTTACCTTGTTCACTGATCCATGAAATGAGATGGAGGTCAAGTGAAAACTGTCTGACGGTCATGAGGACCTTGCAAGGTACGCACATACCAAAAATAGTTATCCAATTACTCATAATAAATGTAATAAGAAAGAAATCAAGAATACTAAATATCTTAACCTTTTTTTTTTAAGTCGTAAATGAATCATGAAAATGAGGTCAAGGACAAATTGTCAATGTACATTTGTACATACATGACAGAGGGAAACTTCATAACATAAGGCATCTATATATAAAGTATGAAGGATCCAGGTCTTATTCCTTCCAAAATATTAAGCTTTTAAGAAGTTTGCTACAGCTGCCGCCACAGCCACCGGATCACTATCCCTATGCCTTGCTTTCTGCAGAAGTCGCAGGCTCGACAAAAATCTAGCAAAAATTGTATACATAAGAGTGCTCATAACACAATTTTCCATAGAATAAATATTTCTAAGGGGCATATAACTCTTGCAGAAGTTATTAATTGTCACTGATTTTCAAACTTGTCTAACATTGCTAATATAAACCTATGATTTAAGTTTCAGAAAATCTGGCAGGATTGTAAACATCAGAGCGCTAACCATGCATTTTCCATATAATTAATGTTTCCAAGGGACATATATATCAACTCTTATGAAAATACATGATCAGCACTGATTTTCGAGCTTTTCCAAGTGATTGCTGATATAAACCTATGACCTATGTAAGTTTTATAAAAATATGGGAAGAATTGTACATGTGAGAGCGCTAACAAGACCAGAAGGACAGCTGCCAAGAGCAATTTTGACAGTAAAAAATGAAAGGGATCATCTCAAAATAAAAAAAAGTATGAAGCAATTAGCATTTCAAGGTATATTATTACCGGTAGTTGCAAATAATTGTTAAACAAGATTTTACACAAATTCAATGATTTATTTAGTTCGATAAAGATTGTTGTCTGTTCACTAGTCCACAATATGTCTTTGCTTTTGTCTTGCATGCCTCCAAAAAGGTTTTTCTATAAACATGAGGAGATGTGGAATGATTGCCATTGAGACAGTTAAAATGAAATGGTTGTAAGCTTTTTGACCACTTTCAGGTTTGTTGCATTTCTGTCAAACACTTTGGTGTTAGTGAACATCATTCGTGTGTTTAGGAGCATCAATCATTTCCTTCCTAAAATTTAGCTACATGTAGCGGAACCTTGAGAAAATTTAATGCTATATTATACGAGTTATTCAGCAAATGAATTCTTATAGGTGTCAGACCACCAATTCAAAATCCCTATCTATTCAACCAAATTTTGTAATTTGCACAGCTTTCCCAATATTTTACCTTCAGTTTAACTTCATAGAAACCAGGTTTATCCTGATGTATCACCTTTCTACATGCTAATTTTAAACCCATGTTTAAAGTCTTCTAAGAAAGAACTCCCTTTCGGAGGTCAAGTACTACTGAAAATAACCCCTGGATTACTGGAAATCTTAAATTAGTATACTATGTGATAATGGAGGGCTGTAACCCTCAATTTTTAATGTAAACTCATAGACAAGTAAATTTTGGTTATCTTGGTGTACAGTGGTGTCCCTGGTGTCCGTGCGCAGCCTTCACGATTAACATTTGATTCCACAAGCCCGAAACTAAATTTTTGGAAAATATTAGTAGGATTCTGTTGGCTTGTAGAGAAGAATTTTACAAGTCTGAAAGCAATTTTACAAGCCAATGCCGTACTGGCCCGTAGGACTTGTAGTTAAGCGTGAAGATGCAGCGTGCGGCCAGTGATATCGCACATTACCTGATTTCATCATATCTGCAAGGTAACATATATATAGAATTGTTCTTATAATTGTTTTAGTCTTCCGAAGGGACAGAAAAGATTAAAACTGATAAGTTCAAAAGTTAATTTATAACTGCAATCCAATGATTAACCATATTTAAATTACCCCGGTAGCCAATTTCTATTAAAAAAATTACATCATCAGATAAAATTTGTTTCATTCAAGTCAATTTTATATCAGATTGAAATAAATATTGCTATGCATCCTTGGCAGTCTGTTTGGTTCAAATTCAACTATAATATTTTCATAGTATCAGAGCTCCAGATAAGCTGCGTATTTGCGTTATTAGGCAATTAAAACAATAGAAAACCTAATTCAATTATCCTTCTCAGCGTTTAAAAACCCAATTCATTCAAAGGATAACTCAATTATTTATTGAAACTATGCATTCCCAACCCTATTAGTCACTGTCAAGTGTGTTTTTTACCCGAAATAAAGAATTATTTTTGCGTAATTTATAAATCTGTTTTTGTAATTTAAAGAAATCTTATTTCGTTCTTAAAATAGAGCACCAATCAAAAATCATTTGTAACTACTTGGGCATTCTCGCTCACTTACATTAACGTAATAGTAAGTGAAGCAATAAGGGTCGAGAAGTTACAAATGGCAAAACTGGGTCCTTGTCGGAATCTTTAAATTGTTTAATTTGTCTCTTGCTAAAATTTTGTATCCCGATAAAAAATCTGCACCCGTTCATAAACTTTCTTTTTTAACAGGAATAGAAGAGGTAGAAAAAACCCATCTTGCACCAAAGACTTAGTTTTAAATTATCTCAAAACTGACATATATTCTGAGGAACAGAGAAATGTCACACATATTATTAGTTCACTCGTGGAGAAAGCAATAACTCTGTGTGCAATGACACTGGACATTAAAGAGGGACCCTAATTAAATAACCATCCATCATCATCATCATGATTATATATTTATAGTGACTGTTTTGCTGCTCACATAGACAGTATTTTGGTTTATGATACTTAATTTGCATAAAAATAAAACTGTCCATGAATCAATGTTAAATTAATTTAACACATTCACAGAACCATATTAATATTGATGCATCATACACATGACAAGGAATCAATTTTACCCAAAAAGAGTAAATGTCTCAATTTTAAAACCATGATAAAAAAACAATACATTCAGGAATATTGCAGTAAAAAACCCAATTCAATCTTTGCCTGAGGGGTGAACCTGAACTGATGATGCAAAAGAAAAAACTAGTTCACTTATTTACATAAAAATGAGGAGTAAAAACCCTAATTAGTAAATTCTCATCTGGAGCTCTGAAGTATCAAATCTTTCCTTTATTCAAAATAAGCTATTTTTAGAAGGCATGAGCAAAATCAAAGGACTTTTGAAGAACTCTTAACCCGAATAATTCAGTGTCTATATTCCACTGCTTTACGATGGCTACATTAACGCCTGAAGGCCTAGTCAAAGAAAAATCGTAAAAAAATCATTCGGAATTAGCTCGGGATTTACCTATCTCGATAACATTTAGCTATTAGCTGATTGGCTCTCTCTCACAGAGAGCACCAATCAAAATCCTGGATTCGTGACACGTTTTTATCGTATAAAGAGTTCAGGCGAGTGGGAGAGTCGATCACGGGGAGGGACTGAATTATTCGGGTTAAAGAACTCTGGAAACAGGGGTTTCCCTAATTTTGGACACTTATTACACAAAATCTTAAGGGTGAATCCATACATACAGAAGATTTTATGATATAAAAGTATGTCATGAATTTGTTCACAGAATATTATCCGATTATCGGTTTTATCAGTATAATAAAGTATAAAAGGCATAAGTCTTATGTGCACGGATACACCAGAATGCACTGTAATCAGGGGTGTACGGAATTTTATACCTGTGTTGCAAATGCAAAAACCCTTCGGCTGCGCCTCATGTCAGGGTGTATGAATTTTCCACACCAATATAAAATTCTGTACACCCTGATTACACTAAGATAACTTATAGTATGCAGGCGCTAAAAATTCAAAAAAAACCAGGCCATTCAGCTAAAATCCAGTAAATATAAAATCAAGATGTGATATGATTGCCAATGTCAATGACACAACTCCAGTCTCTCCACCAGATAACCAAATGACATAGAAGTTAACAACTATAGGTCACCATACGGCCTTCAACAATAAGCAAAACCCTAGTCCAAACAATTATGACGTCTTGCAAGGCTATTTTAATTTTTTTTTGTGACGCCAAGCCGTCACAGAAAAAAATGAAAATAGCCTTGCAAGACGTCATAATTTAAATTATGCGTCACAATAAAAAAAATTAAAATAGCCTTGCAAGACGTCATAATTATTTGGACTAGCAAAACCAATACTGCATAGTCTTACTATAGTCAAACAAATCAAGGATTAATGTCTAAATATATAAATCCTTGAATAGAAGCTGTCATTGTCAACATGGTTTTAAAAGAAAACAGCAGACACCAAAAAATTGTCTTAATCTAAATTTGTATATTTATAACCATTAATATAGGTTTTTACATGTTGTTTCACAAATTTTGATTTTTAGACCTTTAAGTCCTTCGTGGCCATAATTCTTTGGACTAACTGGATGATTTGATTAAACATTTAAAGTCAGAACCGACCAGATAAAGGCAGATTTGATAAGAACCCGAATTGACTAAACTTTTAGGTTCTATAGTAAACCATATGCCTCATTTTGTTTTATACTTAAAAAAAAGGTTATGGATTGACACATTTCAAGCTCATTCCATATCATTCTACCTTTTTAAAGTGTTAAAAATTTGTATTTAGTGCGTCTGACGAACTTGAAGGAAGTGCGTTTTTATCATAAAAGAAAGCCGTTGACGGAGAAAGGAAACGATCCGTAGTTCAACAGGGCCTATCTTTAATTTGTGTTTCAATCCCTGCTCTCAACCGCATCATCATATCATATATTTCGTATTTTCTTTTCATTGTATTCATAGATTTGTATTCAAATCATTATAATCATTGTAATCATTTGTACAGTAAAATATATTTGATTTGATTTGATATATCACTGTTCAAAACAGTAAGTCAACGACAAACCAGCCAAAGCGACATCTAGACAAATGCTAAAGGGCATTATATAGGGTAGACTTCGATAATTCAAAGCCCAGAAGTCAACTCAGAATTTTTCTAACGCCTGACTTTCTACACTACAGTAAACCTGGGACATGATATTTAGTATTTATGAGTATATAAACATAGGCGGATCCAGCCATTGTTTAAAGAGGGTTCCAAACCAGGATAAAAGGGGGGTCCAACGATGTCCACATTCAAAAGCATTGATCGTCAAAAAGGGGGGTTCGAACCCCACATACACCCAGTCACCCAACCCCCTAGAACCACCAATGACACTAGAACTTGCTAAACATCTATCAAATGTTGAAAGTGACATGATTATTGGAAACTGGTCGAAGTTATTTCATTTACAAGTGTAGATAATTATAAAAAATCTATAAACTTACATTATAGTTATAATGAATAGTATCCAAATTAATAAGTTTACACTAAATTGTAATTGAAGAATACAACACAATAGAAGTATAAATGTTTTGTTGCTATGCAGTATAAACACACAAAAAAGTGTGCCAAATTCCGGAAAAACCCACAAAAAAACCCGTGTGTGCGAAGCTGCTAATACTGTAATCTGATATGGTGACAGACAGCTAAATTATTTAATAAAACATGCCGCCGCCTCAGATTATGCATTCATTTTTTTCATAACGACACTTGTTAATTATTACCGATAAGGGAAGGGTGTCTTTACCATCACTGATCTCTTTAAAGTATCACATTGTTAAAAATAAATTTAAGAAAAGTGGGGTCTTTTTAATCATCTTTTTCACATTGAGCTGGCGGAGGACGTAAAATTTATCTTTTCTTAGATTTTGTAAAAAAAGGAAACCAGAATATTCAGATTTTTAAACCAAATCACGTAGGTTTAAGTAAATATACGTCATCAACAATGAGCAACCCGTTACGCAAAGTAAGCTATATACATGTACTTGTCCCTACATGTCAAAATGTAAAACTAATCAAATAAGAGAGCGGAAAAAAACTTCAGCCTGTATGTATAAAACGATAAACGAAAACAAATGTAATGACCAACAAACAACGACAACCACTAAAGTACAGGTAAATATAGCTGCAGAATTAAACAGGTTAAACATTCTTGTGAGCGCGCAATCCTTGAGGCGCAACCTTCTCCTCACCTCGACACAAAGCACAAACACAATCAACGAAATACTAAATACACAAAGTAGTGATCGTGAGAGTGCACGTAGTTACTGGAAGCTAGATTAAAGACAGTTGCAACTAGACATCATTGAGATGGGAGCAATCTCTGTGGGCCCCGCTGTGAATAACGTGTGATAAAAAAATTGTATCTTTACCATAGGACATGGGGTTGTCAACTGAAACCTAAGTTTCTGACCTTGACGTTTGACCTAGGAAGTTGTACATACATTATGACACACCCTATGGTGTTGGTTAATATACATGTTAAGTATAAACTTTGAAATCATAACGGTTCTCTAGATATAGAGCGGACAC